AAATTTCTATTCTACTGCCAGTCGACACTCGCAATAGGGGCCATAGATTAAGTACAGTTTTAAATGCTATGTATACAAGTGTAGTGCTGATTCAATATGTACACTTCAATAATGTAAATCAATACAAGAAAGTTTTCTACATTTACATATCGCTAATTTACTTCAATAGTCTAATAATCCAAAAAATACAAGTATTAAGTCAAGTACGCAGAAATTACCGCTTCTTCTTTGTTGTGTAAACATTTCATAGATGTATTGATTACCAGTAAATACTATGGGAGTATATGTAAATTCAAAACTTTAAAGCGGTTTTTCTCGATTTTGTGTTTTTTTTGAGTTATGACACTATTGAAGTAAATAAACTAAATGTATATAAGCGTACACATTTTATACTGATAAGAAGCAGCCGCATGTTGTAAATGAAGGGTCGTTTGATTCTAAGGCCTCTGAAAGTAGTTGCATTTGAAACGTGAGTTAAGGCAGCGGCGTGTTTTCTCTGTCAGTGCAAAAAAGTAGTAACAAAAAAAAAAAACAAGAATACATTCATGTTTCTCTACATAAAGTTTGCATTTATCTTCATTTTACCGAAATGTCTGTTAATCGCTGCAATTCCGTCGGCGAGGGTAGACTCTCTACAACGGTATGGCATTGAAAATCAACAGTCAAATGACACTTTAATCTTAATGAAATTTATACAAGAGCAACAGCTGAAGAAACAGCACCAACTTGAACAAAATCACGCAGATGAAAATCATTATCGCCAGCATTTTCGACATCATGCTGTCACAACAACAACAACACGTGCGGCAACAAGTGCAGGGAAACGAAATTCCCTTACTACTGCCTCACGAATTAATGTAACACCTATCAACGTACGACGGAATATCAGCACTTTGGCGCCAATCTCATCTGCCACCCAAGCCAATGCCCCCTCTGCTCGTTACAATGCAACAGAGCCATACGCCGAGCAGCTGGTACTGTACATGGCGGCGAAACGCAGATGTAATTATCATCGTCTACGATGTTGAATAAATGGCGCAGATAGGCAAAAGTATTTATATGTGTATTTAAATAGTATGTATTTTAATAAGTAAACAATAATTGAACTGAAATAATAAAAAAAAAACTACTTTACAAAGGAATGACAGTGGTACATACATACAGTCAGTCAATAAAGTTAAGGTACAGCGAATTTTTTACAATACGGGCAACTGTTTTTTAATATTTTATTTTTCGATAATTTTTTATAAAAATGTGGTTAATTCTACAACATAAAACCAAAAAATTAGAGTTCCAAACCCTGTGCAAAATTAAAGAAAATTTTGCAAAATTTCATTCAATTATTTCACTTTTTATTTACGCTCTCTAGAAAAAAGTTGAGTATGCAGTTTTTTAGCCCATTCAATTTTAGTATAACAAAGTGCAAGTTTGAGGTAGCTGGGACTTATTACTGATTTATAGCAATTTTTTTTTGTTGAAGGTGTCGCTCATTTTCTCCATATAAAATAATGTTTGATAAATTTTTTATATGGAAAAAATGTGCGACACCTTCAACAAAAAAATTCCCCAAAAATCAATGGTAGCTTCCTCATATTTGCACTTTATTATACTAAAATTGAATGGACTAAAAAACTGCATACTCAACTTTTTTCTAGAGAGCGTAAATAAAAAGTGCAATATTTGAATGAAATTTTGCAGAATTTTCTTTAATTTTGCACAAGGTTTGGAACTTTG